CCCCCGATGAGGCCACGCCCCCTCTCCAAGCCCCGCCCCCCAGCGACGCCGTGTGCCCGGGCGGCCGCCAGGCGGCGCTGTGGCGCAGGGGGCGGGGCCATAGAGCGGGGCGGGGCCAGAGCCCGGGGCGGGGACGGCGGCAACTCCGGGGGGGTCCCGCCCCGCGGGGGGGGGCAGGTTTTGAGGTCCCCGACCCTCGGGGTCTCAACCCTCCGGGTTCCAGATGTTGGGGGTCCCAACCCCTCGGAGTCCCAGGTCTGGGGGGTCCCAGCTCAGGGGGTCCCGGACCCTTGGGGTCCCAGATCTCGGGGTCACAGTCCCTGGGGTCAGTTCTTGGGGTCCGAGACCCTTTGGGGGTCCCAGCTCTCTGGGTCCCAGCCCTCCAGGTCCCAGCTCTTGGGGGACCCAGCCCACGGCAAACCAGGTTTTGGGGTCCCCGCCCCTTGGGGTCCCAACTCTCATGGGCCCCAGCATCGTGGGGTCTCAGTCCCTCGGGGTCCCAGCCCTCGGGGTCCCAGCCCCCCACGGGTGCAGGACACCCACGGGGCCACTTGTGCCCTGTGTCCTGAGTCCTTGGAGGGTCCTGGTGCCCGGGGGGACCCCCAGGGCGAAGGGGTTGGCGTCTCCCTCAGACCTGCCCCTCGTGGGTACCTGTCACGTCCCCCCTCTGTCCCCCGGGAGGGGGCAAACCCCTCGGGGACACGGAAGTCGCTTCCTTCCCCTTTCCCCAGATGGCTGCTATGCAAAGGGCTGGTGGCCCCGCCAGCGCGCGGCAGAGCCCCGGGATGGCCAGCATCGCGGCACTGCTCCTCTGGGGTGAGTGCCCGGCCACCGGCCACCGGGGATGGGCAGGGGGCTTGACGCCACGGGGATGGTTGCCCGGACCCCTCCCTGCTTTGGGGTTGTGGCAGAGCCCCGGTGGAACCCGCTGGCCCACCAGGAAGGAGCGCGGGGTGGCTGCGGGGTCCCCCGAGGTCCCAAGGGCCGGCAGAGTCACCCCACGGGGTTGTACCCCTGGCCGTGGCTGGGGTGGCCGTGGGGACAAGGCGGTGGGGACAGGGCTGTGGGGACAGGGCTGTGGGGCTGGGTACATGGCAAGGATGGGGACATGGGGATGGGGACATGGGGATGGAGGCGTGGGGACGGGGCTCTGGGGACAGGGACTGCAGGGATGGCATTGTGGGGACTGGCACCGTGGTGGGGGCTGTGGGGCTGGGGACATTGGGATGGGGCTGTGGGGACAGGGATGTGGGGCTGGGCACACGGCAATGACGGGGGACGTGGGGACGGAAACCTGGGGATGGGTCAGGGGGATGGGGTCAGGGGGATGGGACCATGGGGCCAGCAGCTGTGGGGTCAGCAGAGGTGTCCATGTGCCCTGTGCCAGCCCGGGGGGGCCGCAGTGTCCCCACACCCCGTGCCAGCCCCGGGGCTGTCACACGGATGCGGTGCGTGGGCGGCTGTGACGCAGCCATGTCCCCTGGGCTCTCCTGGGGACCGTCCTCGGCACCATTTCCCAGGGGTGGGGGTGTCCCCGCGGGGGCAGTTGGGGACAGCACCTGTATCCCGTCCCCCCCGGGCCGGTGTCCCCGCAGGGGGGGGGGGACATGCAGCAGCCCCCACCCAGCCCCTCTCTCCTTCTCCCTTCCAGCCCAAGCCTTCGGCCTCGCTGGTGAGTCCTCGCTGGCCCCGAGCCCCGCTGTCCCCAGACACCCCCTGTCCCCCGCTGGCCCTGGCAGGCTGGTGTCCCCCCCCTGTCACCCTGCAGGCACCCAGCTCAGCCAGCTCACGTCAGACCCCCCCTGGATGCCGGTGTCCAAGGGGGAGTCGGTGACACTGACCTGCCGGGGTCCCGGTGAGCCCAGACCCACCACGTGGTGGTACAACCGTGAAAAGCTCTGGTGGCCGGAGGGACACGACCGCATCAAGGTCTACAGAGCTGGGACCTACCACTGCCAGAGCCCCGGCGCCACGATCAGCCCCCCCCTCACCGTGAGCTTCTCAGATGGTGAGGGCCAGGGAGGGTGCCCCCACCCTGGGCTCCAGGTGGGCTCCGTCCAACCCCTCGTGTGATGGGACCCCCTCCCCGTGCACACCGGTGCATCCCCCTGCACACTAGTGCATCACGGGGTGCGTCCCTCATCCACGTGGCTGCATCCCTGTGCATCCTAGTGCATCCCAGTGCAATGGTGCCTCCCCGTGCACACTGGGGACATCCCCGTGCGTGCCAGGGCATCCCTTGTGCACACCAGTGCATCCTTGTGCATCACTGCCTGCATCCCTCATGCGCGTGGCTGCACCTCCGTGCACATCGGTGCATCCTCGTGCATCCCTGTGCCACGGGAGCCCGCCGGTGCTTCCCCGTGAACACTGGGCACATCCCTTGTGCATCCCTGGCTGCATCCCCGTGCACACCGGTGCATCCTCGTGCCTCCCCGTGCGGCGGTGACCCCCGTCCCTCCCTTGCAGACCTCCTGGTGCTGCAGGTGCCGTCGCAGGCGCTGCTGGAGGGGGACGAGCTGCGGCTGCGCTGCCGGGGTGCATCAAAATTCTCCAAGGTGCAGTTCTTCCACGAGCAGCAGGAGCTGCGGGGGGGGCACAGGAAGGACATCAAGGGGGACATCGAGCTGCTCCTGGGCCCCGTGCAGCTGCACCACCGTGGGCGCTACCGCTGCCAGGCTGAGAGCCTTTGGTGGCACACGACCTCATCACCAGTGACGGTGGTGGTGAACGGTGAGCACCCGCTCCCCAACACCCACCCTGCGGGGTGCAGACCCCCCCCCCCCCCCCAGAGCTCTTCTCGGAGCCGGTGCTGCACCTGGAGGGCCCAGCTGAGCCCCCCGAGGGAGAACCCCTGGCCCTGGGCTGCCTCAGCACCCCCAGCCCCCTGCGGCCCCCCGCCCAGCTCCAGCATCTCTTCTACCGCAACGGGGTGAATGTGGGGGGGCCCCAGAGGTCCCCCCAGCTCCGGCTGCCGGCCCTGGAGCTGTTCCATTCTGGGACGTACTCCTGCGAGGTGCGGACGGAGACGAGCAGCGTGCGGAAACGCAGCGCCCCGGTCACCGTCACCGTGCGCAGTGAGTGGGAGGGAGGGAGGGGGACGAACCGGGGCCCCACAGCCCCCCCCCCTCCCCAGGGTCCCTCCCCCCACCCTTCCCCAGGTCCCCCCATCCCTCCCCAGGTCTTTCTGTCCCTCCCAGAGTGTCCCCATCCCTCCCTGGGGTCCCTCCACGCTCCCTGGAACCCCATCCCACCCTCTCCATCCCTCCCTGGGATCCCCCCACCCTTCCCCAGGTCCCCCCATCCCTCCCCAGGTCTTTCTGTCCCTCCCGGGGTGCCCTGGTCCCCCCCTAAGATCCCTCCACGCTCTCTGGGTCCCCCCATCCCTCCTTGGGGTCCCCTCCATCCCTTCCCAAGTTCCCCCTGTCCCTGCCCATCTCCTCCCCACAGGGGTCCCGGTCTCGGGGGTGTCCCTGGCAGCGCAGCCCCCCACGGGCCAACTAGCCAAGGGCGACCGCCTGGTGCTGCTCTGCTCGGTGGCCACGGGGACGGGGCCCATCTCCTTCTCCTGGCACCGGCTGGGCTCGGCCGCGCCGCTGGCCACGGGCCCCCGCTACGAGCTCCGGGCCGTGGAGCAGCAGGACAGTGGCCACTACCACTGCCGGGCCACCAACGGCGTCACCGTGGCCAACAGCTCGTCCCTGGGGGTCACCGTCCTGGGTGAGCGGGACCCTCGGTGTCCCCAAAGCGTCGCCCCATCCCGGGGTGGGGGACGGCCACCGGACTGACCCTGGCACCGTCTCTCCCGGGCAGTGCCGGTGGCCGGTGTCACCATCAGGATGGCGAGGAGGGAGCCGCGGGTGCTGGCGGGCGAGAGCCTCAACCTGACCTGCTCGGTGCAGGCGGGCACGGCGCCCGTGGCCTTCTCCTGGCAGCGGGACGGGCGGGAGCTGGGCAGGGGTCCCGTCCTCCCCCTGGGGACCGTGGGGCTGGCGCACGCCGGGACCTACCGCTGCGTGGCCACCAACCGCCTGGGCTCCCAGCGCGTCTTCCAGGCCATCAGCCCCGCGCTGGCCCTCTCGGTGACATCCCCAAGCTGGGGACAGAAGCAGCAGGGCACAGGTTTGGGGGGGTCACTCTATCTGTCCCCTCCCTGGGGTCCCCACATTGGGGTCTGGCCCCCCCCGGGGCTGGGGCTGACCCCGGTTTGTCCCCTCTCTGTCCCCAGTGGTGGCCACGGGGGTCAGCGTGTCCCTCCTGCTCCTGGTCCTGCTCGGTGCCGCCGTGGGCTGGCACCTCCGGCGCCGCGCAGGTGGGTGACCCCCGGGCGGGGGGTGATGGGTTGGTGGGGTGAAAGCCCCCCATGCTGGCTGGGGGGGGCAGCAATGGGGCTGCACCCCATATCTTGGCTGGGGCTGAGCCCCCACTGCCCTTGGCTGAGGGTCCTGGGGGTCTTGAGGGGGGTTCGGGGGGGTCTCCTCTGCTTCCTGGGCAGGCAGGGCTGAGCCCTGGGGTCTTTGGTTGGGGTCTGGGGGGTCCTGGGGGGCCTGGGGGGGGTCGCCCTTTCTCGTTTGAGCTCGGGGTCCTGGGGGTCCCAGCGTGTCCCCCCCGGGGTGTGCAGGCCTGAGCCCCAGGACCTTTGGCTCAGGGTCCAGGGGGTCTCAAGGAGTCCCTCGACGTGTCACCCCGGGGACCCCAGGGCCACTAA